CAGTGGTTCTGATGTGTTTGCTCTTCAAACCTGTAAATGTGACCCGATAGACTTCAGTGTAACATACTTAGCTTCTCGGTATAACGGTGTGATGGTGTTTCGCTGTATAGTTGATATTGTCCTGCTTCAGTTCTGTCGTGGTGTTGTTAAATATCAGGGGAAGATCTCAGGAGATTATTGATGTCAAACCAGTGCAGGGTGGGAATCTCTCGTTAGTCAGCGTTTCAGTTCACACCTGGCACTAAAATGCATCTTGTTTAGCTGTGTGTGATATTTCCAAAAGGTTTTTCTTAACAGCCGGTTTGTTGCTCAGCTGTGCAGCCACAACTTTAACTTTGGCTCAAAAGCCACGGTACAAATAATGAGTTATTGCAGGATTAAGGAAGGGGAGTTGATAAAACTGCCTGTTGCTATTAGGATCTTTAATAAGTAAACGTCCAAACGTACTGGCATCAAAATGTACCTAAAACATTACAATATTTGATGCTTTATGCCAGTGGTTCCTAACCGCTTTTAAACTCGGGTCCACTTAAGAAGCTAAAACATGGTTTAGTTGAATACTTGATTCTGATTGGTCGATTCAGAACATGTGACACATAAATGGTCAAATGGACTGTACTTATATAGCGCTTTATCCAGTCTTTAACGGCCCCTACACACGGCGGCGTGCGTTGCCGCTTCAACGCTTCTTCCCATTCACTTTGAATGGGGTGACGTCACGATTCGCCGAACTGCATTGTGGGAGCAAAGCGTAGCTTCTCTCGCGGTGCTCGCTGCAAAAGTAGAGCAATGTTCTACTTTTGACGCCTCGACGGACGCGCCAGCCAATCGAATCATATGCCAGTCCAAGCTCTAGCCAATCAAAGCGTGTGTGTCTGGGGCGGGAGATTCATGTGATTGGTTGTTGGTCGAGTTTCAGCCCCCCCCCCCCCCGGCAAGCGACAACGCACGCCGCCGTGTGTAGGGGCCGTTTGACCCCGAAAAGCGCTTTACATACTACAGGTCGTTCACCCATTCGTCCAGAGCAGTGTACCTTACTCTAGGACCTAACATTCACACGCCATCGGGAGCAACTCAGGGTTAAGTATCTTGCCCAAGGATACATTGACATATTGACTTCATGGGCTGGGATCGAACCCACAACCTTCTGGTTGAAAGACGACCGCACTCCCTTGCAGCCACAGTCGCCCTGTAAATTATATTGATTAGATTATTTAAGATCAGACCTTAACATTAATGTTTTTCTGAGACACTAGTTGTGTCACTTACTTGCATTCTCCATGGGCAGTCATCACCACCGTAGTCGTATGTCATTTCCTCTCCTTGTTGTATGTCCTCTATGGCAACAAGCATACATGTGGCTTCCCATCCACATCGACTCTTTTCATCTTACAGTTGGGCCTAAGGTGGTCGTCCCGTCCATATGACCCATCTTCCCTTGAGGCATCAATACTTAAGCATACAAATAAGAGGAAAGGGAACAAAAACGAACAGTCCTTCATTTCACTTCCTTTAAAAATGGTATGAGTTGTGATATATTTTATCCTCTGATGCAGTTTCACCAATGTCAGTACTGGATATAACTGTCATACAGTATATCCAACGGATCAAAGCCTTATATAGCATTCAGTGCAGTTTAGCATGGGTTTTAGTCATTGTGAAACTACAAATCTTACCTCCTTGTCTTCCCTCGCCACTTAAATGAAAAAAGGAATGTAGCACATGTCGGATGATAAATGTGTTGTCTTCTGTGCAGTTCCTTATCATTGATAAGGTCCCCTCTACTCAAAAGAAATGTCCCGTGGAAAACTGACCAAGGGCAATTATACCACGTCCTGCAAGACAATATATGACATGTCCAGTGAAAGGGGCCATTCGAATGATGAGTCTGTGGACTATGTCATTCCAAAAGCAATGTGGAGATAAGAAGCGACTGACATTTACACAATTCGATTATGTTACAATATAATGATGAACACCTTATGTAACATCCTCTTACCTTTCACTGCATGGATGTATTTCACATCTCATTTATTTGTTTCATCAGTCTTTGATTGGGCATTCTTCAGGGGACTGACCCTTGGTGCCCCTTTCACACCAGGTTCCCGTTCTAGCTCCGTGCTAGAGCTCTTCTGGTTCGGAACCGGTTTTTCTTTTCAGCCCCCGCTCTGTTCACACCGCCCAGAGCCCGAGTGGTGCTGCGTCATCGTTTGCGTCATGACGTAACTGTTTACGTGCCTGCTTCATAAAGCCAAACCGCGCGGAAACCCCTCACAACAACAACAATGGCCGATTGTATTGAAGCGCTATTCGTTTTGGTTTTGCTCTGTCGAAACGAAATGGAAGAAATGGGACGACTTTACTACGAACTTTACATTAGTCACATGCGACATTCAAAAGTCCCTGCCCCCGCCTCCGACGTAAGCGTGACGTATGCGGTTCTTGCTTCTCGACCGAAAAAATGTTGGTGCTTGAAAAGCATCGGGTTTCGGTGCTTAGAGCCGGCTCCGCTGCGGTGTGAACAGGAAAAACCGGTGCTTTTCAGTAGGGCTGTGCAATTAATCGAATATTAATCTCGATTACGATTTTGACTTGCAACGATTACGAAAACTACGTAATCGAAATAAAACGATTATTATTATTTTTTTGAAATGTAGTTATTATTATTTTATTTTTTTTATTGGTTTTTCAGTTGAATTATACTTAAAGTTCAGGGTAATCAACTGTTAAAAACATACTGTTCAATTCATTTTTTTCAATAAATGTATGTTTTCAAAGTAAATGGATAATTGTTTTTAATAATCGTGATATCAATTATTGACCAAAAATAATCGTGATTTTTGATAATTGCACAGCCCTACTTTTCAGGCTCTAGCTCCGAACCGGCCCCGGAACCGCGTTGGTGTGAAAGGGGCATTGGTAGAATTTCCAACTGCAGAGAAAGGTAGCAAAAATTAGATGTCTTTTTTTTTTAATTCTTGTTCATCACTCCAAACTGTGCTAGCTGCTAAAGCATATCACACACCATGCAAATACACTGCACCGGCTAGCCTACACACGGACTCTATCACTAACATTCACTTTCATTTCTGATGCCAGGTGTGAACTGAAAACATGTGAACCAGCCATTTATTTAGAATTGTTGTTTTTCCTCCTAAAAATCTAGTTTGGATGTAACTTAGCTGTTGAAAGATCCTGTTGCTGCTGATGCCCTGAAGAACGCACATGTGTTTTTACCATTATTGGATTCACATCACCTCGACTGGATCTATCTGCTTCTTTCGGGAACTTTGCACACGGACCCACGTTTTTAAATCTTCAGCCTCACGCAGTTTTCTTTATGTTTTCCGAGGTCGTACTCAATGGAAAATGAAGGCCCAACCTGTCCTCTGTGAGGAAGACGCTGTTTGCTCGGTTGAATCTCTCTGGTGGTGCTTTGTGAATATGAAAGTCCGTGTATATGCAGCTGGGTGACGTCTCTGTGGATTATCAGTATTATTGTGTCTGTGCCACTAAATACGCTGCGAGAGGGGATTTTGCACGAATCACCGGATCGTCCTAAATGCAAACATCGCCTTTTATTTTATTATTGTTTGAATTATTGTTATATCTGGACGTGGTTTGCACATTTTGAGGATCGTTTACATGCTCATTATCCTGATAGTTGATGGTTTGATTAAAATGTTTACATGTTTCACACGCTCGATATATTCCCCGAAAACCTGAGTTATTTATTTTTTGAAAACAGTGTGAATCACATCCAGGGGTTTTTCTAGAAAGATATAGCATGAGTACTGTGGATCCTGTTTATAAGAGAACTCTGTTTGATACTCACACTTCTGGAGGAATTATACCGTTTTTGACGAACAAAAATATTGTTTTCTGGCCTCACTTTAACATTTTACGGGGAATTCAGCATTTTGGGTTGAGGGCACACGCCGAGAGTTTAGACAAAACACTGAAGTCTTAAGTTTTACATCGTTGGTCACAAACAATCCGAATAACAACTTTACCAAAAAGAGACACACAGACAGAGACACACAGATACAGACACACAGACAGACACACACATACAGACACACACAGACAGAGACACACAGACAGAGACACACACACACATAAGTCCTACGTTTTATAACGTTGGTCACAAACAATCCGTTGAGGAACTTAACCCAAGAAAATATGTTATAAAAATCACACTAAATGTCAACGAGCAAAAACATCATTATTTTTAAATGATTTTTTTAGTCTATAAAATGAAAGACCATCGTGAAAAATGTTCTCAGTTTAAAGCAAGGTCTTAAATTAATAAGTAATTTACCTCTGTAAAGTAATTGTGAGAATAATTGGTATTCCCTGTTTTAATAAATGACGAATTAAGAATTTATTTCATTTACGAAGATGAATAGATTTTCCAAATTATTGCTGATTAATTTTGACTTAATATTAATATCTGCCTTGTCTTTAATTCCCCACAGGATGATTTAGGATATGAAGTTTGGCCCAACAACACAGTAAACCCTTTTTAAATGAGACCCTGTCAAAGAGTATAAGGGATGCTGTAATACATATTTAAAAAAAGTCTCTTGAAAATCGTGTGAAATGCCGTTATTAGCCGCTAGTCAGATTGTGCTATCATCCAAGGGAGGGAGAGTTTCATTATGCATTATACTCCATGCAAACGCTAACAAAAGGGACATTTAAATGCAATTTTAAAACTGAAATGTGAAGTTACTTTGCAGGTCTTGTAATGGTTTCCTTCAGATGGAGCAGCAACAAGATATTAGACGACATTAGTTTAATAAAGGCAGTTTCCACTAAATACGTTAGTTTGGTTCTGGTTAGCTAACTTGTGATTAAACCTGCTACAAAACCTATCATGAGCTGAGCTTTTGAAGCCTGTCATCGTAGCTAACTGTGTTTTTATTGTGTGCAAATCACGATAAGTGTCTAAAGTGGTTATACCAAAAATGAGTGGACTAATGTATTTGTTGTGCACAAAAATAAAATGTTAGCTATTATCCTAAAGGCCCGATAATATGTATGATTGTTTTGATCTGAATTTGAAGCTCATCACAACTAATGGTGTTTTTATTGTGTGCTAAACATGCAGCATGCATATCATAGTCCACTTTCAGATAAGCAGAGCTAACTAGCTAACGGGATCAGTGGAAATTGTCTAATGTAGTCAAACTAAAACGTTAGTGAACTAATGTGTGCCTGCTTCATGTTGAGCACAAAAAGAAAACGCTAGCTATCATGCTAAAGGTCAGAGAATACACGTTTTATACGAAGTTTAACGACCCGTTAGCTAACCAGACCCACACTTTAATAGCCTATATATTCAGTGGAATAGTCTCTTTTAAACCAATGTAGTCCAACAGTTCGTTAAACACTGTTGTATGTTTGTTTTGATCTGAATTTGAACCGTCATCGTAGCTAGCGGTGTTTTTATTGTGTGCTAAACATGAACCATGCATATCATAGTCCACTTTTGGATAAGCCGAGCTAGCTAGCTAACGAGATCAGTGGACATTGTCTGATGTGGTCAAACGTTAGTGGACTAATGTGTGCCTGGTTCATGTTGAGCACAAAAAGAAAACGTTAGCTATTATGCTAGTTTTCAAAAGGTCAGAGAATTATGTTTTTTTACTCGGTTTAATTACCTGTT